GTGAAATATGTGATCGATGTGAAACACGTCTCCTTGACGTGATATTAAATACGTATACTCGACAAAATGTGACACACGTGTCCTCGACGTGATGTTAAACACGTGTCCTCGACGTGATGTTCTTGACGTGATGCAGGTATGCTGGGAGGCAGTTAAACAGTCTTGGGCCCCGGACACTTATTGTGTTGTCTCTCAGTGTACTCGTGGCGTCCCTGCTTTACATTGGGGTAATGTTGCATCCCCTGCCGAATCTTTTGCTTTCATAAGGAGTAATTTTCGTGTGCACGTTTAGTACTAATCCCTCTAGGATTTTCCAAGTATATATTATCATGTCTCTCTCTCGCCTACGTTCTAGGGAATACAAATCAAGGAACTTCAACCGTTCTCAGTAATTTAGGTGCTTTATCGTACGTATGTGTGCCGTGGAAGTTCTTTGTACACTCTCCAAGTCAACAGTTTCGCCTGCCTTAAAGGCGGCAGTTAGTGTACAGCAGTAGTCCAGCCTAGAGAGAACAAGCGATTTGGATAAAATCATCATGGGCTTGGCGTCCCTAGTTTTGAAGGTTCTCATTATCAATTCTATCATTTTTCTAATAGATGCGATAGATACATTGTTGTGGTCTTTGAAGGTGATGTCTTCTGACATTATCACTCTCAGGCCCTTCACATAACAGTTTTAATTTCCTCAGGTTTTCCATATCTGAGTAGTTGAAATTTTTCTTCATTGAACTTCATATTGTTTTGGGTGACAAATTTGAAGATTTGGTCGATGTCCGCTTGGAGTCTCGCGGTGTCTGCGATGGAGGTCACTGTCATGGCAATCCGGGTGTCATCGGCAAATGAAGACACGGAGCTATGGCTTACATCTCTGTCAGATATGAAGATGAGAAACAGGATGGGAGCGAGTACTGTGCCTTGTGGAGCACAGCTTTTCACAGTAGCTTCCTCAGACTTTTCTCTGTTTACTATTACTTTTTGTGTTCTATTTGTTAGGAAATTATAGAGCCATCTATCATATACCAAATCTAAGGCCAAAACAGCATCCAGTATTGGACTCCTGCTTAAACGAGATGAGACTTACACTGATGACAGCAAAGAAATGAGTGAGATACTAAAGGAACAATATAACAAACTGTTCAGTGAGCCGTTAACCAGACTAAGGGTCGACAGCTTAAATTATTTTTTTATGACCGAGGCTCAAAATTTGGTTAAGTCAAGAATTTTAGATATAATCCTAATACTACAAGATTTTGAAAAAGCAATGAATGACACGCAAATGCACTCTGCCCCAGGCTCAGATTTGTGCAACTCTGTGTTCATGAAAAACTGCAAGAAACCCCTTTCAGGTGCCATAAATATTGTATGGGGTAGGGAGCACGGACACAGGGGTCATCCCAGTCACTAAAAACAACAAACATAGCGCCACACCACAAAGGTGACAGTAAAGCAATTCCAAAGCATTGCTTTACTGTTCTAAGAAAAGGTTCTAAGAAGCAAGATCGCCACTCGCTTAGATACCCATCAGTTGTACAACCCAGGGCAATATGGGTTTAGAGCAGGTCGCTCCTGCCTCTCACAACTACTGGACCACTATGACAAGGTCTTGGATGCTCTGGTGGCAAAACAAAATGCAGATGTAGTATACACAGACTGTGAAAGCCATCGACAAGTGAGACCAAGGTGTAACAGCACAAAAAATGCGTGACAAAGGAATAACAGGAAAATTGGTTAGATGGATTTATGACTTCCTAACAAATGGAACGCAAAGTGTAATAGCAAACAACAAAGGCTGAGGCGTCTATAGTGAAAAATTCTGTTCTACAAGGTACAGTCCTCGCTCCCATCCTGTTCCTCATCCTAATATCTGACATAGATAGGAGCCACAACACCCCGTGTCCTCCTTTGCTGATGAGACCCGAATCTGCATTACAGTGTCATCCACTGAATACACTGCAAACCTCCAAGCGGATATCAACTAAATCTTTAATTGGGCCCCAGAAAACAATATGAAGTTCAATGAAGACAAATTTCAATTACTCCGCTGTGGGAAAACACAACGAAATAAAAAATGAATCCGAGTACAAAATAAATCCCAATCACACAATAGAGCGAGGAACTAATGTGAAGAACCTGGGAGGGATAATATCAGAGGATTTCACTTTCAAAGATCACAACAATGTATCTACCACATCTACTAGGAAAAGACGGATAATGAGAACCTTCAAAACTAGAGATGCCAAGCCAATGATGATTCTCTTCAAATCGCTTGTTCTCTCTAGGCTGGAATATTGCTGCAAACTAACGGCCCCTTTCAAGGCAGGCGAAATTGTAGACCTGGAGAATGTTCAGAAAACTTTCACGGCATGTGAAAGCATGTTACTGGGAGCCCAAGACTGTTCAGTTGCCTCCCAGCATACATAAGAGGGATTACCAATAGGCCCCTGGCTGTCTTCAAAAAGGCGTTGGACAGGCACCTAAAGTTAATACCTGACCCCAATAGAAATAAGTCACTGTCTGACTTTTTTGGGTTATCCCAGGTTCTCTACACATATGCTGCTATGTATGATAATCTATGTAACTGTATTTGTGTATACCTGAATAAACTTACTTACCAGCCGGGCTGTTTATCGTATTCCAGTTTATGTGCGGCCAGCAGTAACAGACTGGTTGATCAAACGCTGATCCACCTCGAACCTTAGTCACAGGTATACTCTTGGTATACTCCAGGTATACTCTTGGTATACTCCAGGTATACTCCAGGTATACACTAGGTATACTCCAGGTATACTCTAGGTATACTCCAGGTATACTCCAGGTATACTCTTGGTATACTCTAGGTATACTCCAGGTATACGTGTCCACGCCGCAATGATGTGAAACACGTGTCATCTACGTGTTGTGAAACACGTGTCATCTACGTGTTGTGAAATACGTGTCATCTACGTGTTGTGAAACACGTGTCATCTACGTGTTGTGAAATACGTGTCATGTACGTGTTGTGAAACACGTGTCAGCTACGTGTTGTGAAATACGTGTTGTGAAACACGTGTCTACGTGATTCCATCTTAAGACTCTAGTAATGTGCAGTAATATCTGGAGTGTAACACCTAAGAGAGCACGTAAGCGACACCTAAAAGAGCACACAAGTGTCATCAAACAGCACACTGGTAACACCTTAGAGAGCACACAGGTGAAACTAAAGATAGAACACCGTAACACCCAGGAGCACACATGTGACACCTAAGAAAAGCACAAAGGTGACATCTAAGATATCACACACCTGACACCCAGGTATCACACAGGTGACTCCTAAGAGCTGACATTGTTGGCACATAAGAAAGCACAGGTGACACCTTAGAAACCATAGCTGGCATAGGAGAGAACACACATGTGACACAGTCACACATTACCTGGGCTGTAACACATATGAGCACACAGCTGACACATGAGTGAGCACTTAGGTGATACATGAATGAGCACATAAGTGAAGCATGAGTAAGCACACAGGTAACACATGTGTGAACACACAGGTCATGTGAATGAGCACACAGGCGATACATGACTTCGCTCACTGGTTACAAATACCTGAACACACAAGTGACACATGAGTGAGAACACAGCTGACATATGAAAGCACACAGGTGACACATGAGTTAGTTCACTGTGACACATGAGAAAGCACACAGGTGACACATGAGTGAACACACATGTGATACATTATTGAGAACACAGGTGACACAGGAGTGTGCACACATGTTTGATGTTCAGTACCTGGTGTGTAGCATATGAGAGCACACATAACACATGAGAGAACACACGTAACACATGGTAGAGCACACACAAGACATGAAGAGCACACATAACACATGGTAGAGCACACACAACACATGAAGAGCACACTTAACACATGGTAGAGCACACATAACACATGGTAGAGCACACATAACACATAAAGAGCACACTTAACACATGGTAGAGCACACATAACACATGGTAGAGCACACACAACACATGAAGAGCACACATAACACATGGTAGAGCACACATAACACATGGTAGAGCACACACAACACATGAAGAGCACACTTAACACATGGTAGAGCACACATAACACATGGTGAAGCACACATAACACATGGGAGAGCACACATTACACATGGTAGAGCACACATAACACATGGAAGAGCACACATAACACATGGTAGAGCACACATAACACATTGTAGAGCACACACAACACATGGTAGAGCACACATAACACATGGTAGAGCACACATAACACATGGGAGAGCACACATTACACATGGGAGAGCACACATAACACATGGGAGAGCACACATTACACATGGTAGAGCACACACAACACATGGGAGAGCACACATAACACATGGGAGAGCACACATTACACATGGGAGAGCACACACAACACATGGGAGAGCACATATAACACATGGGAGAGCACACATTACACATGGGAGAGCACACACAACACATTGGAGAGCACACATAACACATGGGAGAGCACACATTACACATGGGAGAGCACACACAACACATGGGAGAGCACACATAACACATGGGAGAGCACACATTACACATGGTAGAGCACACATAACACATGGAAGAGCACACATAACACATGGGAGAACACATATCCCACATGGGAGAGCACACATAACACATGGAAGAGCACACATAACGCATGGGAGAACACATATACCACGTGGGAGAGCACACATAACACATGGAAGAGCACACATAACACATAGGAGAACACATATACCACATGGGAGAGCACACATAACACATGGGAGAACACATATACCACATGGGAGAGCACACATAACACATGGAAGAGCACACATAACACATGGGAGAACACATATACCACGTGGGAGAGCACAAATAACACATGGGAGAGCACACATAACACATAGGAGAACACATATAACACATGGGAGAACACATATAACACATGGGAGAACACACAGGTAACTTACCTTGTGTACTCTCAATGTTGACTCGAAGCTGAAGTCGCAAGACAAGAGGTAATAATTTAGGAGGAAGAGGAAGAAAGTAAGAGAGAGGAGGAGGAGGAGGAAGATGGGTGGGGGTGAGGAAGGGAATAATCAATAATCTTAATTATTTATCACTTCTCAATTCATCCAAAACGCTGGTTGAGTCTTGTAAAACTACCTGGATTATCTCTCCCTCTCTGTGTGTCTCAGCGAGACACTGCGAGACAAGAAGCTCGTGCACATCAGAGGTTAAAAGAGGAGGAGGCACAGGAGGATGAGAGGAGTGAGCACGTGTGTTCAGTGTTCACAGTGTGTGGGAGAACACGGGAAGCAGCAACAACCTACACTCATCACCTTCCACACCAACACTGAGCTGCCACCTCGCCTCTCACAGGTATTTGTATGCTCCATACAGGTGCTACCTGGCAACCATGGCACCCTCCATGGTCTTGTTGTAGTGACCATGGCAGCCTCCATGGTCTTGTTGTAGTGACCATGGCACCTTCCATGGTCTTGTTGTAGTGACCATGGCACCCTCCATGGTCTTGTTGCAGTGACCATGGCACCTTCCATGGTCTTGTTGTAGTGACCATGGCACACTCCATGGTCTTATTGTAGTGACCATGGCACCTTCCTGGTCTTGTTGTAGTGACCATGGCACCCTCCATGGTCTTGTTGTAGTGACCATGGCACCCTCCATGGTCTTGTTGTAGTGACCATGGCACCTTCCATGGTCTTGTTGTAGTGACCATGGCACCCTCCATGCTCTTGTTGTAGTGACCATGGCAGCCTCCATGGTCTTGTTGTAGTGACCATGGCACCTTCCATGGTCTTGTTGTAGTGACCATGGCACCCTCCATGGTCTTGTTTGTAGTGACCATGGCACCCTCCATGGTCTTGTTGTAGTGACCATGGCACCTTCCATGGTCTTGTTGTAGTGAAACCATGGCACCCTCCATGGTCTTCTTGTAGTGACCACGGCACCTTCCATGGTCTTGTTGTAGTGACCATGGCACCTTCCATGGTCTTGTTGTAGTGACCATGGCACCCTCCATGGTCTTGTTGTAGTGACCATGGCACCCTTCATGGTCTTGTTGTAGTGACCACGGCACCCTCCGTGGTCTTGTTGTAGTGACCATGGCACCCTCCATGGTCTTGTTGCAGTGACCATGGCACCTTCCATGGTCTTGTTGTAGTGACCATGGCACACTCCATGGTCTTATTGTAGTGACCATGGCACCTTCCTGGTCTTGTTGTAGTGACCATGGCACCCTCCATGGTCTTGTTGTAGTGACCATGGCACCCTCCATGGTCTTGTTGTAGTGACCATGGCACCTTCCATGGTCTTGTTGTAGTGACCATGGCACCCTCCATGCTCTTGTTGTAGTGACCATGGCAGCCTCCATGGTCTTGTTGTAGTGACCATGGCACCTTCCATGGTCTTGTTGTAGTGACCATGGCACCCTCCATGCTCTTGTTGTAGTGACAAAGGCAGCCTCCATGGTCTTGTTGTAGTGACCATGGCACCTTCCATGGTCTTGTTGTAGTGACCATGGCACCCTCCATGGTCTTGTTGTAGTGACCATGGCACCCTCCATGGTCTTGTTGTAGTGACCATGGCACCTTCCATGGTCTTGTTGTAGTGACCATGGCACCCTCCATGGTCTTGTTGTAGTGACCATGGCACCCTCCATGGTCTTCTTGTAGTGACCATGGCACCTTCCATGGTCTTGTTGTAGTGACCATGGCACCTTCCATGGTCTTGTTGTAGTGACCATGGCACCCTCCATGGTCTTGTTGTAGTGACCATGGCACCCTTCATGGTCTTGTTGTAGTGACCACGGCACCCTCCGTGGTCTTGTTGTAGTGACCATGGCACCCTCCATGGTCTTGTTGCAGTGACCATGGCACCTTCCATGGTCTTGTTGTAGTGACCATGGCACACTCCATGGTCTTATTGTAGTGACCATGGCACCTTCCTGGTCTTGTTGTAGTGACCATGGCACCCTCCATGGTCTTGTTGTAGTGACCATGGCACCTCCATGTCTTGTTGTTAGTGACCATGGCACCCCTTTCCCTGGTCTTGTTGTAGTGACCATGGCACTCTCCATGCTCTTGTTGTAGTGACCATGGCAGCCTCCATGGTCTTGTTGTAGTGACCATGGCACCTTCCATGGTCTTGTTGTAGTGACCATGGCACCCTCCAGGTCTTGTTGTAGTGACCATGGCACCCTCCATGGTCTTGTTTGTAGTGACCATGGCACCTTCCATGGTCTTGTTGTAGTGACCATGGCACCCTCCATGGTCTTGTTGTAGTGACCATGGCACCCTCCATGGTCTTCTTGTAGTGACCATGGCACCTTCCATGGTCTTGTTGTAGTGACCATGGCACCTTCCATGGTCTTGTTGTAGTGACCATGGCACCCTCCATGGTCTTGTTGTAGTGACCATGGCACCCTTCATGGTCTTGTTGTAGTGACCACGGCACCCTCCGTGGTCTTGTTGTAGTGACCATGGCACCCTCCATGGTCTTGTAGTGACCACGGCACCCTCCATGGTCTTGTTGTAGTGACCATGGCACCCTTCATGGTCTTGTTGTAGTGACCATGGCACCTTCCATGGTCTTGTTGTAGTGACCATGGCACCCTCCATGGTCTTGTTATAGTGACCATGGCACCTTCCATGATTATATAGTGACCATAGCACCCTTCATGGTATTGTTGTTGAGACCATGGCACCCTTCATCGTCTTGTTGCAGTGACAATGGCACCCTTTATGGTTTTGTTGTAGTGACACTGGCACTTTCCATAGTCTTACTGTAGTGGCAATGGCACTCTTCATGGTCTTGTTGTAGTGACCATGACACCCATCATGATCTTACTGTAGTAACCATGGCACCCTTCATCGTCTTAGTGTAGTGACCATGGCACCTTCCATGTTCTTACTGTAGTGATCATAGCACCCTCCATGGAATTGTATTGACCATAAGGATATCATGGCCTCTGAGGTCACCAAGGTCACCAAGGTCACCAAGGTCACCAAGGTCACCAAGGTCACCAAGGTCCCTATGAATAATATATCTTTATTTCTACCCATACATGTACAAGGTATACAGACCATAAATGACATCAGTGACATACTGCTATATGGAAAGTCGCTTGTTATGTAGAACATTTCCTGCGAATTAGGTCAACTTTGTCCCAGGATGCGACCCACACCAGTCCACTAACACCCAGGATGTGACCCACACCAGTCCACTAACACCCAAGATGTGACCCACACCAGTCCACTAACACCCAGGATGCGACCCACACCAGTCCACTAACACCCAGGATGCGACCCACACCAGTCCACTAACACCCAGGATGTGACCCACCCATCCACTACACCCAGAGCGACAACACCATCCACAACACCAGATGCGAACACACCATCCACTAACACCCGAAAGCACACAAACCCAATCCACTAACACCAGGATCGACACACAACAAATCCACTAACACCCCGCATCGACCCACACCAGTCACTACACCATAAAGCGAACACAACCAGTCCACTAAACCCAGGATTGACCCACCCAGTCCCCCTAAACCCAGGATGCGACCCACACCCTCCAAACACCAGGAAGCGACCAACAGTACTAACACCGGATGTACCCAAACCGTCCACTAACAACCAGGATGCGACCCAACACCAGTCACTAACACCAGGATGCGACCCACAACCAGTCCACTAACACCAGGATGCGACACACACCGTCCTTAACACCCAGGATGTGACCACACCAGTCCACTTAGCACCCCGGATGTGACCCACACCAGTCCACTAAACCAGGGATGCGACCCAACACCAGTCCACTAACACCCAGAATGCGCCCACACCAGTCCACTAACCCAGGATGCACCCACACCATCCACTAACACCCGGATGCAACCCACACCAGTCCACTAACCCAAGATGCGACCCACACCCGTCCCATAACACCCAGGATGCGTACCCAAAAACCAGTCCACTAACATCCAGGATGCGACCCACACCAGTATACTAACACCCAGGATGCGACCCACACCAGTCCACTAACACCCAGGATGAGACCCCACACCAGTCCACTAACCACCAAAATGCGACCCACACCAGTCCACTAACACCCAGGATGCGACCACACCAGTCCACTAACACCAGGATGCGACCCACACCCAATCCACTAACTCCCAGGATGCGACCCACACCAGTCCACTAACACCCAGGATGCGACCCACACCAGTCCACTAACACCCAAGATGCGACCCACACCAGTCCACTAACACCCAGGATGCGACCCACACCAGTCCACTAACAGCCAGGATGCGACCCACACCAGTCCACTAACACCCAAGATGCGACCCACACCAGTCCACTAACACCCAGGATGCGACACACACCAGTCCACTAACACCCAGGATGCGACCCACACCACTCCACTAACACCCAGGATGCGACCCACACCAGTCCACTAACACCCCAGGATGCGACCCACACCAGTCCAATAACACCCAGGATGTGACCCCCACCAGTCCACTAACACCCAGGATGCGACCCACACCAGTCCACTAACACCCAGGATGCGACCCACACCAGTCCACTAACACCCAGGATGCGACCCACACCAGTCCACTAACACCCAGGATGTGACCCACACCAGTCCACTAACACCCAAGATGCGACCACACCAGTCCACTAACACCCAGGATTGTGACACACACCAGTCCACTAACACCCAGGATGCGACCCACACCAGTCCACTAACACCCAAGATGCGACCCACACCAGTCCACTAACACCCAGGATGCGACCCACACCAGTCCACTAACACCCAGGATGCGACCCACACCAGTCCACTAACACCCAGGATGTGACCCACACCAGTCCACTAACACCCAAGATGCGACCCACACCAGTCCACTAACACCCAGGATGCGACCCACACCAGTCCACTAACACACCAGGATGCGACCCACACCCAGTCCACTAACACCCAGGATGCGACCCACACCAGTCCACTAACACCCAGGATGCGACCCACACCAGTCCACTAACACCCAGGATGCGACCCACACCAGTCCACTAACACCCAAGATGCGACCCACACCAGTCCACTAACACCCAGGATGCGACCCACACCAGTCCACTAACACCCAGGTTCCTATTGTACTGATGGTAAACAGGGACGCCCAATGTTTCTGCCCTCGCCGGGAATCGAACCCAGACACACAGCATATGAAGCGAGGACTTTTCCTACCAGGCACCGGACCTGGTCACCAAGGCACCTATGAAGGTCACCAAGGTTCATATGAAGGTCACCAAGGCCCACGTGAAGGACATCAAGGCCT